TTACCCATCTTGCTGAAAGTTGGGCATATGAAGAAGAATTTAAGATAGGAACAATGCTTTAAAGACTAAATAGGGAATGTATTTAATACTGAGTTAAAAAGTTAAAATTTGTAGGAAGTAAGAACTTTGAGTGGCTGAATATGCTTGAAGTGAACTTTTAGTTAAGATCTTTTTGGCTGCAGGCAATAAAACATCCAACCCAAACATTTAGCTTAAGCAAAAAAAATAACTTTTTAAGAAGAAATTTTATGGACTTGTGCAATTGAAAAATCCAGAGGTAGTATTAGCTTTAAACATAAGTTGATCCAAGTATGTCATTGGGGAGTTTCTGTGTCTTGACCTTGCTTTCTTCCCTACTGGCTTTTTTTTTTTTTTTTTTTTAAGTAGGCTTCATAGGGGTGCCCGGGTGGCTTAGTCGGTTAAGCGTCCGACTTTTGCTCAGGTCATGATCTCACGGTTCGTGGGTTCGAGCCCCGCGTCGGGCTCTGTGCTGACTGCCAGCTCGGAGCCTGGAGCCCATTTCAGAGTCTGTGACTCCCTCTCTCTCTGACCCTCCCCTGCTCACGCTGTCTCTCCCTCTCTCTCTCTCTCCTAGAAATAAATAAAACATTAAAAAAAATTAAAAAAAAATAAAGTAGGCTTCATAAGCAGCTCTGAGACTGATGCGGAGCTTGAACTCTTGACCTGAGATCAAGATTTGAGCTGAGATCAGGAGTTGGTTGCTTAACTGACTGGGCCACCCAGGGCTCCCCTCTCCCCCACTAACCTTTTTAAAGGTTCTTTGTGTTGGTCCCAACCATCTCTAGTTTTATATCCTTTTCGATCCAAGTTTGGAAGAAAAGAATGCCTCTTCTATGAAATTCCCATATACATTCAGAAATTTTCCTGATTGGAACTTACTGGTTTACTTTGGCTGTAGGGAAAGTATGATGATGATTGGCTAGAGTGGGTCCTAAGCCTTCTCCAAATGAATTCATGTTGGTGAGGGAATTCAGCTCCTCTGTTTGGCCAGGTTTGGGTCATGTGCTCTCCTCCTGGGAGAATGGAATCTCACTGAGGTCATACAGACCATACAGTTGGGGAGGGCTGATTTCCCAAAGAAATTTCCAGCATATTAGAGAAATAGTAGCTATGGTAGTCAGCTGAGGCTAGGTTATGCTGCAGTGAGCAGCAGTCTGTGGCTTACTATAGACAGCCGTCACCAAATTCCTTCTCAGTCATGCAAAGTCTAGTGGGGGCTCAGTTGCCCTCCCTGTTCTAGCCCAGGTGTCTGCGTTGGGACCAGGCTGTTGTCAGAGCTTTGGACAGAGTAATAGAGCTGTCTCTCCATTTATTTGTACTAATAACTGTATAGTCTTACTGTCATCATCCATTAGGTACAAAAGGAATTCACTTTCTAAATTGGTACCCCATCTTATTTCTGCTTTGGGAAAGTACATAGGTCAAGGGCCCTTCTTCCATTTATACTTTAGAGTCTGCAGTTTAGACAGATTGTTTGTCTTTTTGTGAGTGTTTGGCATTCTTTCCTTTTGCCTTGTAATTCCTCGTATTTGTTCTCAGAACTTTTTTGAAATGGTTTTATGGGGCATTGAAATCCCTTTTTAGCTTCCCATGTTCCTCATGTATATTTTGAGTGATGACAAATTAAACATCTGAGCTTTTTGGTGATGATGTTCATGTGATGAATACACCTTGGGCTTTCACACAAGCCAGACATTCCTGGGCATCTTTTGGAGGTGTGCTGGTAGCGATTTTCCATCACAGCAGGGTTCCTTGATGGCTTCACATTTTCTTCTCAGGTTGTAGAAAGGGAGAGAGACTTTATTGCCAACACTTTGTAAACATGAACTTCTAATTAAAGCAGGCTGTTAGAACTTACCATGGAAAGATCATTTGTGAAAGTAGAGCCGTTGGTCACTCTGTAAATGATCCTGCGTTACTTACTTGCTATGGATGGTGCCGTGTGGTCAGTCATATTCAGAAAATAGCATCGTCTGCAGTGGCCCATTGATTATGTAAGGCCAGAAGATCTGTGGTGTTACATGCCAAAGAGCTTGGAACTACTAGCTTCTCCCTTTCCTGGGACTAGTTCTCATGAACTGTCTACCTTCACGTTTTTTTAAAAAAATGATACTGCCTTGTTTACTGTCCTCAAGTGTGTCTTAATTTGCAAAAGAAAGCCAAGGTGAATGTCTCATTGATTTTGGACAAAAGAAAACTAATAAAATGGAATCGTTGGTGCATCTTGACTATTTGGATTTTTAGTAGACTCAGCCATACCGAGGTTGTCAGTGGGACAGAAATACATGCGTGTGTTTACAAATTCATTCATTTAGTCATACGTTTGCCTTTTTTTTTTTTTTTAAATGTTTTATTTTAGTTTTGTGAGAGATAGAGATAGAGCATGAGCAGGGGAGGAGCAGAGAGAGAGGGAGACACAGAATCAGAAGCAGGCTCCAGGCTCTGAGTTGTCAGCACAGAGCCTGACGTGGGCCTCAAACTCATGAACTGTGAGATCATGACCTGAGCTGAAGTCAGATCCTCGACCACCTGAGCCACCCAGGCACCCCCATACGTTTGCTTTTGTTGGACATTCTGTGTGGGAATATAAAGGCTGAGCTTTAAGTTAGTGTGAAATGACAGCTTACCTAGTGGCCATGAATAGGCTTCAGGGGTGAACCTCCCTGGGATTTTCTGCAAAATCTGTATGTGCATTTTTCTGGGGAGAGGATTCTATAGCTTCTATTAGATCCTCAAAGGGATATAAGCCGTGAAGCTGTAATGAACCTTCTCAAATGCTCAGAACACCTGCTAGTGGCTAGCCTGGTCTCCTCATGGGAGCTGCCACCCACCCTGCGAAAGCAATACCTTTTGAATATTTCAGGTGGCCCCTTAGAATGAAAGTGGGTAACATGGGCCATTCCTAGCTACAAAGAAGTAAGAAGGGAAAGAGGAAGCCGTGTAGACTCTCTGATGAGCACCAAAGTGACATAGGATTATGTAGGGTAAAGTACACCCTTCTCAAATGCTTGTTGATTCCCGTAATCATGGGGAAGAGTTCAAATCTCAGCTCTGCCATTCGGAGTACTGTGTGTACTTCAGCAAACTACGTAATTTCTGTGCTCGCATATCCTCATATGTAAAATGGGGCTACTACAGTATTTGCTTCCTAAGATTGCTGTAAGGATTAAGTGATATGATAACATGTAAGGTTTAAGTGCTGTGATAGCATGTAGCATATAGTGGGTGCTCAATAAATATTAGCTCCTATAGTGGTGCTGAGAGGTTGTCCTCAGTAATGTAAAGAGCAGTCAGATATGGATGGTTTGAGTTTTGTGTGCATGTGTTAGATATTTGTACCTATTTACCAAAAAGTCCCCTGCTCTCAGCATTTGCCCACGTATGAGCCGTTTTGGTGTGCAAACATCATAAAAGTTGAAAGAATACAGTGATATATCCATTTAGGAGAATAGAGTGAATCTTGTCACAGAATGTTGCATGAAGAGGTTCTTGCCACGGAAGGACTAACTGAATATCACAATTCCGTTTTGTCTTTGGAAATCTATTGTGCAGTCTTTAGTCCTGATTTCATTGAGGATATGGTGGTTGAAGACCGATAGTCCGATATTTCACCTCTGTGATCAGCTCATCTGTCATCATTAGGCTCTAGGGGGCTACTCTCTGTCCATGCACCTTCTGATTCCTCTAATAATTGGGAGATGCCTCCCTCTGTAGTTTTATTCTTATTGTCATTGTGGGTAGAAAATGAAAAATTACGAATTCTTAACTGTGTTCCAGGAAAGTAAAAATAAAATGCAAAGATGTTATCTTCAGGCTTCTTTTGTAACTTGTTGAGAATGATGTGATACTTTGGGCAGTGCAGTAAGGAGACAGAAGAATGATGCTGTCGTGCTGGTTTATTTCATACTTGCACCGGTTGGTGGTGATCGGAGAACACATTCACACTAGAATGTTCAATGAGGAGAGCCCACAAAGTTATATATGCACTGTGAGGCCAACTGCATAAAACACATCCATGCAGTGATACTGCAGTCAGTGCATTAAATGCTAATAGTTTTTTTCTGGGTGAGGAGATGATGTGTGATATTTAAATTTAATTATCTAAATGTTTCTCCATCTTCTGAGATCTGTACCTAGCATATGTTCTTTTTTAAACCAAACAAATCTTTTTGTGATATTGAAACAAAGATTCTTCTTTTTTATTATTTTATTTTTGAGAAAGTCTGCACCTGTGCGCAAGTGGAGAGTGGGGCAAGGAGAGAGAGAGAGAATTCCAAGCAGGCTCCATGCTGCCAGTGCAGAGCCCAAAGTGGGGCTTGACCTCATGACCGTGAGATCATGATCTGGCTGAAATCAAGGGTTGGACACTCAACCAACTGAGTCACCCAGGCACCCCCAAAGATTCTCTTTAAATAAAGTTTTATTGAGATACTATTTTTAAAGTTTTCTTATTTATCTTGAGAAAGACAGAGTCAGTGCAAGTTGGGGAGGAGCAGAAAGAGAGAGGGAGAGGATCCCAAGCAGGCTCTGTGCTGTCAGTGCAGAGCCTGATGCAGGGCTCAAACTCACAAAACTGTGAGATTGTGACCTGAGCCAAAATCAAGAGTCAGATGCTTACCGACTGAGCCACCCAGATGCCTGAGATATTACTGACATACTGTACCATTCACCCACTTGAAGGTCTCCCATTTGGTGGCTTTCAGTATATTCACAACAGCCATCTGGCCATCACTCATCACCAACTGGAGAACATTTTCATCACCCCAAAAGGAGAATCTACACACATTAGCAGTCTCTCCATTTGACTTTCCTGTTCTAGATATTTCAGATAAATGGAATGACCTCATATGCAGTTCTTTATGACTGGCTTCTCATGCTTGTACTTTGGCTGATGCACTGAGGAATCCTACTAACCCTTATTGATCATATGGTATAATATACATTTTTTCCCTTTTTTTTTTTTTTTTTCTTACTTCTAGACTTGGTTCCTTCAATTATGAACAACTTGTTAAATCCGGATGCCATTTTCTCAAACAATGAGATGAGCCTGTCGGACATTGAAATCTACGGCTTTGATTATGATTATACGTTGGTGTTTTATTCAAAGCACCTCCACACGCTGATATTTAATGCTGCTCGGGATCTTCTCATCAATGAACACCGGGTAAGAGCATGGGGACGTTGTGGCCTCCCTCCTCCTTGACACTGAAGAACAGCTGTGAGCAGATCTGGCCCTGTACCTGGCACACAGACATCACTTAGTAAATTGTTGTTGGATGAATGAGTAGATTTTGTTCCATTCCGAATGACTCTATCTGGAAGACGGTTTTTTTTTTTTTAAACCACTGTTTTTGAGGTGTGACTGACATACAAAAGGCTGTACATACCTAATGTGTATAACCTGATGAGTTTGGGGATAAGTGTACACTTGTGAAGTCATCACCACCATCAAGGTCATAAACTATCTGTCACCTCCCAAAGTTTCCTCCTGCCCCCCTCATTATTATTATTATTATTTGTGCGTGCATGTGTGGTAAGAATACTTAACATATGATCTACCCTCTCAGCAGATGTTTTAGTAATACAGTGTTGTTTGCTATAGGTGCTGTGCTGTGTAATAGATCTCTAGTAGAGATCTATTGTTTATCTCACATCACTGGAACTTTGTACCAGAAAACAGTTGTGTGTGTGTGTGTGTGTGTGTGTGTGTGTGTGTGTTTAAACCTCTAGATGTGTCTTTAATGAAAGACTTTCAAGTTATGCGTTAGTGAAGATTGGAAGAGACTTTGTGCTCTCATTTCTCACTGAGTGGTGATGTAGTTTCTCTAAGAGCTGATGAACCAACAGCCTGCTGAGCTCTGGTTAGAAGAAATCCTTGAAACGATAGGCAGTGTTTTACCCTCATCATTGACTTGAGTTGTTCTGTTCTATTTATTTTAGTTTTTATTTTGTTTATTTATTTGAGAGACAGCGAGAGAGAGAGAGAGAGGGAGTGAGAAAGCACAGGTGGGGCAGAGAGAGAGAGAGAGAGAGAGAGAGAGAGAGAATTTGAAGCAGTCTCCGCAGTCAACACGGAGCCTGATGTGGAGGCCCAGTCCCGTGAACCATGAGATCATGACTTGAGCTGAAATCAAGAGCTGGATGTTCAACGAACTGAGCCACCCAGGCACCCCTGACTTGAGTTGTTCTTATGTAAAGAACATTTGAATGGCTTCTGATGTGTAGTGTTGTTGAGAACTTATAGTAAGGAAGGCAGAAAGAAACACACAGAACCCAACATGCTTTTCTGTAGTCCAGCTGAGTACCTATTTCAGGAGCCTGAATGAGAAGCATCCTCAGAGGTCACTTGGTCCTAGTGCCCTTTGAGAACTCCAGAATGCCCTGAGAAGTGCAGCTCAAGGGTCTGGCTCCGACCAGAGTGCATTACTGCAGGGGGGCACTTCTGATTTGAGGGGTTGAACAATTCTGCCTTCAGACAGCTTTCACCATTGATCTCTTCTCTTTTCATTTATTCCTTCACACTTCCTTCAGCCTCCACACCAGGCCCTGCAGTAGAAGCAGGGGGAGTGGGGATGAGTAGCACACAGGGACCAACATTGTAGTGGGGAGTCAGTCGTGTAAGCAGAGGAAATTATGCGGCCACTTGCTGGAGGCATCTCCATGCACCTGAACAAAGAGCTAGGGATGTGTAGAGGAGGTTGAAGCAACTTTCTGTGCTTGAGAGAATTGGGAAAACAACAAAGAAGGTGATACTTCCAGGGAGTCTGGAACGCATTTGTCAGCAGAGGTGGGCTAGGGGTGGGCAGACTGGTAGGTGTGTGAAATCCAGAACTAATGTTTAATACCTGATTTATCTGCTAGGATAGTGTTTAGTCTACTGGGCTACATGTTTTATAGTCCAGCTGTTATGCTGTCCAAGATGTCTCTCCCAGGCTGATCATTCTTAGTTTTTTCAACGATTCTCATTTGGCCTCCTTTCTGGTCTTTTATCATCTGAGTTACCCTTCTTTGTGTGTGCTCTGGTTTATCCCCCTCACATGTGAGTCCCCAAACTGAAGGTATTACTGCAGGTGGGGTCTGACTAGTATGGAACAGAGGGAGACCATCACCTTCCTGGTTCTGGATACCATACCTTTATTAATGCTATCAAAGTTTCCATTAGTTTTTGATCCTGACCATTTGAGGCAATATATTTCCTGATCCCCTCAGCTTTTGGTTATCAGTGGATTTAATAAGCAAGTCATTTTCTCCTTATTCAAATGAAGAAATGGCATTTGTCAAAAATAACCTTCCCTTCTGCCACTAAGCCAACAGCCAGCTTTCTTTAGTTGTGGCCACTTTACCACACGTAAACCCATCTAGCCACTTGCCATCCAGCTGCATTTGCCCATCTGTTCAGGAAACTCTCTTCTGTCTAACTTGCAGACGTTTCCCTTGACAGTAAGGATGAAAGTAGAGTACGAACAAGGGAGAGAGGCAAACCATGAGAGACTCTTGAATGCTGACAAAAACTGAGGACTGATGGATGTGGGGGGGAGGGGGGGAGGAAAAGAGGAAGAAACATATGGGGATGAGCACTGAGTGTTATGTGGAAACTAATTTGACAATAAACTATTTGTAAAAAAAAAAAAAAAAAAAGAAAGTAGAGTACGAACTAGGGGGTCCTGTCCTTGCTGCCCTGTCTGCCAACCTGCACCATTTTTCCACCACCCCATGGGGAGGTTGAACTGAAGGGGTGTGGCATTGCTGAAGGCGTTCTAGACCTAGGTCATCTGTGGCATTTGCTGTGACTTTGATATTCACTTATAAAATAATGGTCATTCTATTAACAGTCTCTGTGGATTTTCTGCTTGGTGCTAGAAGCACAGGTTCTAGTGCCTGACTGCTGGTGTTCAGATCCTGACACTCACCACTTCTCAAGTAAATCTTGAGAAACTCACCTAATTTCTCTGAGCCTCCATTTCCTCCTCTGTGAAATGGATACAGTAACAGAACTCTCCTCACAATGTCATTGTTGTAATGAGTTAATATATATATAAAGTGCCTGGCCCATAGAAAACACTCAATAAATGTTATCTATTACTACTGTTCTTTTTTTTTTTTAAGTTTATTTATTTTGAGAGAGAGAGAGAGCGCGCACAAGAGAGCGCACAAGTGGGGAAGAGCAGAGAGAGAGAGAGTTCCAAGAAGGCCCTTTGTTGTCAGTGCAGAGCCTAATGTGGGGCTTGAACTCATGACCTGACCCAAGCTAAAATCAAGGTCAGATGCTTAACTGACTGAGCCACACAGGTGGCCCACTACTGTTATTTCTAATATGTGTGACAACCATGCAAATAGATATTGTCTCTGTTTTACAGGTGAGGAAACTGAGACTAATGGAGATGAGTTCGTAGTTCAAAGCCTCGAGATCAGGAGACAAAACCAGAATTTGAACTTAGATTCTGTTTCCAAGACATAAATATTTATTCCATGTTGTTCCTTATGAGATTAATAACACACCTTTCATTTCCATCCTGTTGTTCACATGGAAATAAAATATTCATGATGATAAAAAATTTATGAAGATAAAAAATGTATGAAATTTAGGAAAAAAGGGAGATACAATAGGTGGGGGGAAAAGGTGCAATCATGATTATAAAAGCTTCTGGATTTAAGATCACGGAGTTTCATTCCCATTATGTCTGTTGTTTGGATAAAAGAAATAAGTCATAACACTAATTATGTCAGGCATATTAATAGAGTCAATTATGCTTATGCAGATTTTTCTCTTGCTCTGATTAAACAAAATAATTCTTCCAAGAGGCATTTAATTTGGTGCCATTTTTCCTGCCAAAGACTAAATGTACTTGTAGAGATGGAAAGACATCTGCTTTTGAGATGCACAGTAATAGAACAGTAAGTTTGCAATTTAGCATCTTCCCAAAAAGCAAATGTAAAAGTTCTAGTCCCTTAATTATGCTTTTTTTAAAAAAGAAAAACAAGTTTTCATAAAAATAGAACAAAATCTAGGGTAATGACTCTGTCTGTATTTTCCTTTCATGGGCCCACTAAGGAATAGAAATAGAGTAATAAGAGTTCTTGACTTCATCTTCCAGATCCACACCCCTCCTCAATGTTCCCTGTCATCATCAGGCACTGATGAATAGTCACCTTTTTTTTTCAAATCTAGAGCCTAACATCAGCCATGACCCCTCACATTCTCCTGTGTTTCACTCAGTGAATGCTATGGGTTCTCACTTTCTCTTTTTTATATATTTGTTAAAATTTTTTTTTAATGTTTATTTATTTTTGAGAGAGAGAGAGAGAGAGAGAGATCACAAGCAGGGGAGAAGCACTGAGAGAAGGAGATGGAGAATCCAAGGCAGGCTCCCGGCTCTGAGCTGTCAGCACAGATCCCAGTGTGGGGCTGGAACTCACAAGCTGTGAAATTAGGACCTGAGCTGGCACTGGACGCTAAGCAACTGAGCCACCCAGGCGCTCCCTCTTGTTTTTTAAAAAATAAACTGTTAATTTGAGGAGAGTCTTAGGTTTACAGACAAGTTGCAGAGATAATACTGAGAATTCCTGTGTCTACACATGCCTGGTTTCCTCTTGATCACAGTTTACTGTGGTACATTTCTTACAGCTGAAGAACCACATTCATATGTTGTTATTAACTGAAGTCCATACTGGATTCAGATTCTCTTTGTTTTTACCTGACGTTCTTTCCCTGTTCCAGGGTCCCATCCAGGATGCCACATTACATTTACTTGTCATGGTTCCTTAGGCTCTGCTTTGACAATTTCTCACAATTCCCTGGTTTGTGATGACCTTGACAGTTTTGAAGAGTACTAGTAGGGTATATTTTAGGATGCCTTCTCCTGGGATTTGTCTGCCATTTTTTTTTCCCCATAATTAGACTGAGGTGGTGGGTTCTGGGAGAGGAAAATCACAGAGGTAAAGTGTCATTCTCACCCCATCATATCAAGGGTACAAGCTGTCTACATGACTCACTGCCCATGATGTTGGCCTTGATCATGTGGCCGAGGTGTGTTTATAGGGTCTCTGCACCACAAAGTTACTCCTCCCTTTTCCATGCTCTGCTCTTTGGGAGGTCACTCTGTGCAGCCATGAGCTCTCTTTTCACTCTTTCAAAAGATACTCATTCAAAACATGTTCTAACTC